GGAATTTTAAACAGCCAGCGAGCCAATTACTAGCCGCCACGTGTGAATAATTTAGCACTGGCCAATAGCGGGGCACAAATTTGCATCCGAATAGCGGGAACTCTTTGCACCGTGCATTTCTGTGCTGCAAAGAAGAAATGCATCCTGCAAAGGAAACTGCAAATTGGCGGGAACTCTCCTGCACGCAGGCTCTTAATTGCAGCAGAACACTCTGCCGTGCAAAGGAGCTCTCATGTGGCCAGGAAATTCCATAGTGCCGAGGCACAAAAAATCACTGGGTCGTGACAAGGTATAAAAAGATGGCTAGAGCAGTGGAGGGGCTTTGTTTGTGGAAGAACTGTCCAAAAGCCCCTTAGGCCTCCAGCCGGTTACTCAGCAGCAGAGCAGAAAGCAGGAAGACAAATGAGGATCAGATGCAGTGAGGTAGCTGTGGGGGAGGGTAGGAGCAGTCAGTCAATTAGGAAGTGATCTAGTGTAGGTGGTGCAGCAGGGAATCTCCTTCTCTCCTGAGAGGGGGCAGCAGCAGCAGCAAGGCAGCAGTAGCAACAGCAGCAGTGATGATAGGAGCCGTCCATTTCAGCCACTCAGGGTGTACTTCTGGTGAAAGTGGAGGTGAAGGTGGGGGTGGCCTGCCAAGGCAGCTGAGGCAAACAGGGTTCCTTTAGGCTCCAGCAGTGATGGTGGGGGAGGGGCCCACAGGCAACGCAGACTCCCTCCCCAGGCTGTCCCCGACCACAGACCACGGCTTGGCGGCGGGCTGGGCAGCAGGCTGGAACAGGGGTGCAGAAGCTGGGGTGTGGTGCAGTGCACTGGGCCCCTCCCTGAGGGGGAGGCAGCAGCATGCAGCAGAGTACCCCCCCTGGGGGGGGGGCAGGAAGAGCAGCAGCCCAAGACAGGAAGGGGTTGAATTTACTCCAAAAGCTCTGAGACCAAGCCAGCAGCTAATAGTAGCCAAAGGCAGGAAAAGGTCTGGCCATCTGCTCCCCAGAGGCTCCTGAGACCAAGCTTGCAACAACCAGCTGCAGCAGCAGCCTGGGTCAGGAAGGGGTATGGCCAACTTCCTCCCAGAGGCTCCTCCCTCAAAAGCTCTTGAGAGCAAGTAGCCCTGAGCTGTTTGCTAGGGCAGCTTTTTATACTGCTGGGGTCAGCACAGGTGCTGCCACAGGCTCTAGCTCCCCCTGACTACAGATCCAGGAAGAGCCAGGCAGGGTTATTTTGCCCCAAGTGGCACAACTTGCACCACAACTTGCACAAAGTACATGTCCAGGCATGTGCACTGAGGCAAAAAGCCCTGGCTCAAATTTGCACTACTTCTATTTGTGCTGCTGTAAGCGCACATGCCTGCATCTGTGGACGTGCCCTAAGTGTCTATTCTACAGAGAATTTTAGTGACCTAAATGGTATAGCATTACCAAGTCAGAAAATCAAAATTGCTAGCCAGTGCACTATTATATATTGGCAATTCAACACAGGATCCTTGATCCTTGCATCAAAGGATAAAACCAGGCTTGTTCCCCTTGCAAACTGTGTGGAAGAATAAATGTCAAATCAAAAGCTGAAAACAAGGGTGTACATTTTGCCCTCCTGGAAGTGCATGCTGTGAACTATGCGCTTAGTCAGCTAGAGGTATAAAGAAGAAAATGTTGAGAGATTACATGGATAGTAAAGGGAGGAAAAGACTGGGATATTAGGAAATGCTGTTTGAGACCTTCATCTGAATGGACTCCTATCAGTGGGTGCAGGGTGAGAGAGAGGGAGTGTTAGAAGAGGAAAATGTGTCTGCAATCACTGGCAAAACAGGTCAGAGAGGAAACAGTAACTTCTTCCCTGATGGTCCTGTCCACCTTGCAGCCAAACACAGATATACAATAACTTTAAATACAGAAGCCCAGCATGGGCTGGCATTCTTCTTTACAGCCATAGTGTGGGTAGTGTTCCCATATTTTATAAAACAGTAATGCTCAACCTTTTGGCCCCATGGGCCAGATGAATGCTGTGGGGTGTCTGTGGGCCAAATCGAGTCCCATAGAATCATAGAAAATTAGGGTTGAAAGGGACCTTAGGAGGTCATCTAGTCCAACCCCCTGCTCAAAGCAGGACCCTCCCCAACTAGATCATCCCAGCCAACGCTTTGTTTAGGCAGGTCTTGAAAACCTCCAAAGATGGAGAATCCACAGCCTTTATGGGTAACCTATTCCAGTGCTTTACCTAGCGAGAAAATTATTTCTAATATCTAACCTAAATTTCCCTTGCTGCAACTGGAGACGGTTGCTCTTTTTTCTATCATCTGCCACCACTGAGAACAGTCTAGATCCATCATCTTTCAAACCCCCTGTCAGTTTAGGGCTGCTACTAAATCCCCTCTCAGTCTTCTCTTCTCCAAACTAAATAAGCCCAGTTCCCTCAGCCTCTCTTCATAAGTCATGTGCCCCAGCTCCCTCACCATTTTGTTACTCTCCACTGGACTCCCTCCAATTTGTCCACATCCGTTCTGTAGTGGGGGGCCCAAACTGAACACAGTATTCCAGATGTGGCCTCACCAGTGCTGAAAAGAGGGGAATAATCACTTCCCTTGACCTGCTGGCAACACACCAACCAATGCAGTCCAGTATGCCAATAGCTTTCTTGGCAACCGTCCTAAGTGCAGGACTTTGCACTTGTCCTTGTTGAGCTTCACGACATGTCTTTTGGCCCAATCCTCCAATTTGTGTAGGTCACTCTGGATCCTAGCTCTACCCTCCAGTGTATTTACTACTCCCCCCAGCTCGGTGTCATTTGCATACTTGCTGAGGGTGCACTCTATGCCATCTTCAAGGTGAAGGCATTGAACAAAATTGTAGGTGATCACTGCTCAGCCCTTGATCAAATTGACTGTTTTGATTGTTAAATCTTTTAACAATTTCTGCATTCATAACTTTAAAAAAAAAGTTCCAAAAGTTTTCTACTAATTTTTCTAGTAACAAGATGTCCATGATCTCAGTGTGCTCCCTGGTAGCCACAGAGATATTTCACTTTGTTTTGGTTCATAAGGTCTAAGCAGACTTCTATCTCATTGGCATACTGGTAAATAAGCAGCCTGGATCCTTCCCTTCATATATTCTTCATCCCAATGTCAATCCATTTAAGGGGAAAAAAATAGAAACCAACTTGATTATCACGTGTTTATTAGAATAAATAGTACAGTCATAAATCATGCATTATTTTCCACAACACTCCTGCTGTGGCTTTAGGAACCACAGGATTGCATTGTAATTTGCTTACAGTACACAAAGAGTAACAACTTTTACACTCTCTAAGCCAGACATGTTTCAGATATGACAAGTAGGGCTGTGCAAGTAGGCAGCTATTTGATCCGGCTTCAGATCCGGCCATTTCAGATGCCGGGAATCTGATCCAGAGCTCCGGACCGGGTTACCGCTTTGATCCAGCCAAAGTGGCTCTGAAGCTTCGGAGTCGCCTCGGAGATCTGGCCATAGGGTATAATGGGGAATCAATGAAATATCTATAACTCTTTTTTGTCTGATTTGGATGAAACTTGCAGGAGTGGTAGCCTCTGCTGAGAGCATGAAGCCTGCCTAGTTTCAAGCAGATCAGTGCAGGGGCTTGGGGGGAACTGTACCCCAAATTCTTGAAAGCAAAACTCACATCACGTGTACGTGTTACACCACAGGGGAGTGAAAACTGCAGGGGTGGTAGTCCCTGATGAGGCCACAAAGCCTGCCAAGTTTCAAGGAGATCGGTGCAGGGGTTTAGGGGGAACTGCACCTAAAGCTGCTGACAGGCAAAACTCGTGACATAGATGACCGTGTGTGTTACAGTGTAGTAGACTAAAAACTGCAGGGGTGGAGGCCCCTGCTCAGGCCATGAAGCCTGCCAAGTTTCAAGGAGCTAAGTGCAGGGGTTTGGGGGAAACTGCACCTCAAGCTGCGGACAAGCAAAACTCGTGACATGGGTGACGCTGTGTGTGTTAAGGCGCAGCAGGGTGAAAGCTGCAGGCTTGCTAGCCCCTGCTGCGGCCACAAAGACTGCCAGCTGTCGAGGAGATCAGTGCAGGGCTTCTGGGTTCTGGGGCCCTGCACCCCTAGCTGCTGACAGGCAAAACTTGTGACATGAGTGCTTGTGCAACTGACTGTCTCTGTCTTGGGGCAGTTGATTGTCTGTATTGATTCTTTCCTCTCCTTAGTCTGTGGTTTTGTAGGTGTTAATCGTTGCCAATTAACTGGTTACATTAGCTAGCAACTGTGTATTGAGCTGGTACCTGAGTGAATCATGATTGATTGGTAACTGGTAACACAGTAGCTTAGCAGCCTGGCTTGCTGTAGTTCCCCCCCACCCCCTGCCCCCTTGACAGCTGGCAGGCTTCATGACCACAGCAGGGGATACCATCCCTGCAGCTTTCACCCTGCTGCACCTTAACACACAGTGTCACCCATGTCACGAGTTTTGCTTGTCCGCAGCTTGAGGTGCAGTTTCCCCCAAACCCCTGCACTTAGCTCCTTGAAACTTGGCAGGCTTCATGGGGGCCACCACCCCTGCAGTTTTTAGCCTGCTACACCGTAACACACACATGGTCATCTATGTCATGAGTTTTGCCTGTCAGCAGCTCGACGTGCAGTTCCTCCCAAACCCCTGCACCGATCTTCTTGAAACTTGGCAGGCTTTGTGGCCTCACCAGGGGCCACCATCCTTGCAGTTTTCACCCCCATGTTGTAACACATAGATGTGTCGTGAGTTTTGCTTTCAAGAATTTGGGGTGCAGTTCCCCCCAAACCCCTGCACCGATCTTCTTGAAACTTGGCAGGCTTCATGCTCTCAGCAGAGGCTACCACCCTTGGAAGTTTCATCCAAATCAGACAATAAACAACAAAGTTATAGATATTCATTATACCCTATGGCCAGATCTCCGAGGCGGCTCTGAACCTTTTCAGAAGCACTTCGGAAGCTCCAAACCGCTTCAGAAAGCCCAAAGAAGCCAGAGCTTCGATCCGGACATGCTGCTTCGGACACCTAAGTGTCCAAAGCTTCTCCAGATCTGAAGCATGGTCCGAAGCCTCACACAGCCCTAATGACAAGTCCACTATTTTACCTGCAAAGATTTTTGTTTTAGTAACTAGAAATCCAGAACAAACATTGTTAAAAAACAGTAGAGTAGGATCCTTACAATACATTAATATGCAAAGCAGTAGGTTTCTATTAGAGTGAAAAGAGCTCTATAAGGCTTTACACTGATATAAATTCTGCCTTTGGGGTGTCTATAGATAGACTTAATTTCTGTTCCAAGTAGAATGCATTGGAGCAGACTCAATTAACCAAGTCTCCTCCGCTTTCTAATTAGAATGCTCCAGTGTTGCCTCACTGTCACCTGTGTTAAGCCATTTCAAAATGGCCATGAGGCACTTTATCTAACCCTTGTCAAATGAGCTTTAGATAAAGTGTCCCACAGCCATTTTGAAACATGCAGGGGCTTAATACATGTGATGGTGAGCTGTTTTAATTAGAGGAGTTGTCCAGGAACTGGTCTCATTAAAATGCCTCCCCCGCCACCTGAGTATGTGTATAGGCAGCCATGCTGTTGTGTGCTGACACAGCTGTGGGTAGTCAAACACCTTCTTAACTACCAAGCCAGCTATAACACAATCAGTGTAATAGGTTTTTCTGGATAGAATTTTAGGGCATTTATACACATACTTTTTCATTTGGGGATGTGCCAGAGATCCGCCACTTCTGAGCAGACTCAATTAATCGAATCTGCTCTGCACACAAGCTGACACACACTGCATTGTGCCGTGTACAGTTGTATAAGCAGCACAATGCGCATCAGTGCACAGAAAATGGTGGTGGTGCGTTTTTGAACTAAAGCACCTCCAAGATGTTTTAGTTCAAAAGCGCGCCACCACCATTTTCTCAGCACTGACATGCATTTCACCGCTTATACAGTTGCGAACGTCGCAGCACCAGGCGCTTTTCAAAGTACCCAGCGGTGCAGCACCTGCATGTGTAAAATGCCCTTAGAGGCACATTATATCCACTGTAAAAGTGGGCATTTCATTGAGCATGTACAAGTGTGGAAGTTTGAATGTTGTGCATGTGTCAGTCTGGAGTGCTGCAACATGCATTGCCTTTCCTACCCAACATTACTCTGACAGAATTACAGAAATCCAATAGCACAAATTAAATAGTATCCATAATATTTTTTAACACACAACTGAGGGGGAAGAAGGAGGTGTCAGTATCTTTAAGCTTTAAAACCAAAACATATTTGCTCATTATAACTCATGTTATATATGTGATAGATAAGCATGAAATAACTACTAGTGGGGGTGGGGAGTATTATATATACCTGCTCTAAAATGGGGTTACATCCTGTTTTAAAATGGCTTGCTTTGGGGGAAGCTCTACTTAGGCTAAAAGCATTCCATCTACAATGCTGGCTAGCAACAGTATCTGCAAGAAGATTCTCAGCTGGTTAGGAAGCCAGAGGATAAAAAGGTATAGGAAGCCAGCACAGAATTTTTCCCCAAGCAACATTCATTGGTAGAAAAATTTAAAAATTTCACAGGATGTGCCATCTGCCTCAACCAGACATGCCATACAAACTAAGGGTCCTAACCTGGACTCACAGAGGTACTGATAAAAGGACTGCATGCCCTCATGCTCATAGCAGGTGGCCAGCATTGCTGGTTCTTGGGCAAAGTTTGTTGCCCCTCTTTTATAGCTTACCTATAAAGTATACTAATTGGACATTGTGCCCCACATTCCTTCTTTACAAGGAAGGTCACTCCCTTTCTTTATAATGAAGTCAGTCCACCCTTACTCTTATTCATTCCTGGTCTCCCCCTCCTCCCAAAGACCTCAATCATGCCCATTGCTTGTTGTATTAACACGTTTTATAAAGGACTTCTTGAGTATCTCAGAAAACATACAACTTTGGCACTCTCACTCACCTGAAGAGGACAGAGGGTATGATTAATCTTTCACCAACTGCCTATTTCCCAAGGATTCACTAGGCACTGGAGTTAGCTATAGAATACCAAACAAAAAGCTGAAGGACTCTAACAATCATCTCCCCTCAGATGATCAGTTTTGACTCTGTCATATCATAGGGCTCAGCTTTTCAAAAGCAGAGATGCTCAACTTCTAGTGTTGTGGGGCCTAACTTATTGCTAGCCCTTTTAAAATCCCCTTTAAAGTTACTATGACTTTGTCCTATGGGAGCATCTAAAGATCCCAATTAAAACTGGGGCCTTACTGCCCTAGGCACTGCATAAAAACATCTATTAAAGGATCATATGTCCTCTAAAGCAAATACAAATGATAGTTCTTCAGTCACCTAGAACTTTCCAGGGCAGACATGACTTGAATTTCTTAGAGAAATAAATGACCATTTTTAATCCATCACCAAGAAGCAAAAAAAAAGACCACAAGCTTATTTTGCCTTCTCTTCTCACAGTATAAAGCTGTGGCCAGCAGTGGACTAATTTTATCTGAACTACAGAGTTAGGGGCCATTTGTGATGTTTTGGTGAAAGTTTGACCCACATAGCAGCCAGGGGGTAGGACAAGCAGTGAGCAGTGATGGCACCAGTGGTGTCTATAGTACTGCAGGCCTTGTTAGAAGCAACCCACAGCTGGAGATAAGTGGTGTTAAAGAGATTCCCAGCTCCAAAACATTACTGACCCCTGCTTTAAAGAACTCAGTTGAGATACCAAAAAAAAGCACAAAAAAAGTTAAAAACATGTAGAAGACCATCTCTGTAGTACAATTACACCACAGTTAAAATAGCATAGTAAGGGACACACATGTATCTCGAACTTGGGCGTGAACTCTGAAGGCTAAATTCAGCACTGGTGAAAGCACAGATTTTGGTTTCCATCTGTGAGAGGTGGGCGTCTTGACTGCTGTACAGAATCTGGGCCCCCAGAGTCCCATAACACTTTCTTTTTCCTTTACAGGCTATTCTGTTAAATATTTTACAGAAAATGTAGCAGCCCATAAAGCATGACTAATGCGATAAATATAAAGCAATGATATAGTGGTTCGTTATCTCTTCTAGGCACTGTGAGGAAAGAATGCTATAAAATAGGTAACCCACAGGTAACTTACTTTGGTTCAATAACCCAATTTCCTTTTAATTGCTCTTCCCAAATACCACTCACATGAATTATATAGCATAACCTTTGTTAAGCTACATCTTACACACCATTAGAAACAGATATATGGGTGTATAATCAGGTAAGATCCACCTAGTACAAGGTATCCTGGGAAAGGAGAGGGATATTCTTTAGGATCAAATCTAGCAGTCATTACCCAAGCCAAACTCCTGTTGATATCAATGTGACTTTTGACCAAGGACTGGGCCCAGAGCTTGTAATAGCAGCAGAGTGTCTTCAGGGGTAGCACTGCATAACTGAATGAACCCATCCAATCACATCAGGACTGAAAGGAAACGTATGTCATTTTCAGTCCAATGATCTCATCTCTAAACTGTTTCAAATTCAGTGAAAGGCACTGCATTTAAACACTAATGTACGCTCTTTCAAGTAGTCTGGTATAACTCAGGAAGGAAAAAAGAAAAGCTTTATTGAAAAGTGACCTTGATCCATTTTATTTTTAAGATCAGTACTGTAGATCTGTTCAAAGCCTTGGGCCCTGTAATTTTAGCTGCCATGGACTTCAATAGGAGCAGGATGAGGCCCTTAAAACTTTTCCACATGTAAATAAGTGTCAGCCTTGAAGCTATCAAGCTGTTATTCCCCCTATATATTCTAGAAAAGATTTATAATAAAAGTATATCAAGATGCATTCATCCAATCCAGCCTACTTGACCAGCTCTTCCAGAACTGATCCAGAAAGCATGTTTAAGGACTGGCTCCAGCTCTAAGTAACCAAACAGCTCCTTTATACAAAAAGAAGAGAGAGGAAAAAGGCATCAGAGCAAACAGTCATCCCATTTCTAGGCTCACTGTGTGTAAACATCAAGTGAAAAATAATACTGCGTAGCATGAGGTTAACACACAAAGGGTAGAGAAATGCCAGATTCTTATGCACCCTTTCAAACATGTCCTTGAAAACAAATACATGCTATAGCATACACAAACCTTATTTAAGGAAAAATGCAATTTCTACACAAATTAGAATGCAAGGGCCTGCTTTTGTATTTCTAACACTCAAGCCTAGTCAGCCTGTTGACACCAGTGCAATAACCAAGCAGGTTTCATAAGAAGGTACACTATGGCACTGACTCATCAAAAGAGTTTCAAGTATTCCCTGCCTATCAAAGTAGCCAGTACTTTATCAAAACAAGAACAGGAGTTGATCATAGCAAACAATAGACCCAACAGCATCTCAGAGCAAGGATGTAAACATTCTGATATTTCATAAGCAAACCACCTAAAAAAACCACAGACAATATTTTCAGTATGCATGTCATGCAAGGCGTTACATGGAGAGACTGTTAACAAAAGAAGGAACTTCCATCATGCAGCATGAAATATAGTGTAAGGCACAGAGGGGTGTGGGAGGTGTCCTTATTGGTTTTTTCTCCTAAGGAAGTTAGGAGGGTTAGCATCTTGGCAGCTTCTAACCTCACTCCACATTCTTGTATTTTGTGAACAGGTTGTATAAAACCCTTAGGGTAGATTTCAGATCCAGATTGACAACATCTGTGGAAGAAAGGGAGAAATGCTTAGATTGCCTTCACGCTGCCTTCTTATTTTCTCTGAATGAAACAAAGCATCTTCTAGTCTGTAAACTTGCAAGAATAATAAATGCAAACAGGTTGAATTTCCACAGCTGGATAAAATAATATCATTCACTTCAAGAAACCTTAGTATTACTTTAATCGCAGCTATTTCTGAACTTCTCTCTGGGAAGGAAAAAAAAGTGCCACAACCCCTTCCTGACCTAAGATTTGTTACAGAAAAAGCCTGTTTGAGACCTGATGACATCTCACGGAAAGTTTTTTTAATTGATTATTTTTCTAAAAAATGTTGCTAATTTGACAATTTCTAGTGAATTTCCACTAGTGATGTTCCTAGCAAGGCATTAAAATACATATTTTATATTTCATATATAGTCCTGAACCCTACCATGTAGTGATTTGCTATGCAACAAAAAATGCTTAAATTCTTTCCTTTACAATCACAAATCATCATTCAAGCTTCACAGGCTTTAAGCTTAATGCTCCTGGGCTCAGTCTTTTCCCACCTCCCACTCACAGCAGCAAGCTTCTCTGTTAGCGCTTCCTGCCCTTCTGCTGCGGTAAAATACAGGAAGTGTTGACAGAGAATCACGTGCCAACGGCTACAAGGTTAAGGCACAGAGAGAGAGAGCAAAGGCCTTCACAAAACAAACCCAAGCATATGAAACTGCAGATGAAAACTGGAGGCAGGGAGCAGTAGAAAGATCGAAGAACATGTGAAAGAAGAATACTAACAAGGAAAGATGATGGAAAACAGCTATAGGAGCCAGTGAAATCAATATGAGTTCCAATAAAAACTCCTACAGCCTATTTGGAAGAAATATTTTCATGATATTCTCCTTTCCACCCGATTCTTGTTTAGTATATGGTAGGTCAGAAGCCCCTTGCACTTCACTTTATTCTTTCAGTTGCCTCTCACGTGTCCATTCTTTTTGTTCCTATTATCCTGGAAATTTGCCTAAAAATGAAGTTCCTTATCACTCCATCTTTCTTTTTTAGTGCCTAGATTTAGGACTATTTGAAAAGTGTAAAAATCTTGGATGAAGAACACCAAAGACTGCGCCGCTCCCTCTGAAGACTGTAATTAGCTCATTAAGCCCTAAAAAGAATATGGTTCAAGTTTCCCTGATGAAATCATGTCTGGCCTGAAAATGTCCCCCCTCAGAGTGGAAAGGAATTTTATTCTCTGTAAATATACTCTTCCTCAGCCTCAGGGATGAGAGGGCTGACAGGCTTTCAATTAGCACCACTTGAGGGGAGAGATGGAATGTGCAAACAGGCTTCTTAAAATTTAACTATTTAGCACAAGTCTCTAGATCAGGGGTGGGCAAACTGTGGCCCGGGGGCCAGATGCAGCCTGCCAGGCCATTCTATCTGGCCCGTGGGGCACCTAAAAAATTTAGAAAATTAATATTAACCTGCCCTGGGCTGCCTGTCATGCAGCCCTCGATGGCTTGCCGAAACTCAGCAAGCAGCCCTCTGCACCAAAATAATTGCTTGCTCCTGCTCTAGGCAGCCACAAATATTATTAAATTGACTTGCACTCACTACTAGCCTCAGCTGGATTTAAACAGGCAGCTTAGAAGTGAAAAGCTGAGCCTGAGGAAGCATGAACGACTGGTGCCTCCCACAATGGGGGGTGGGGGGGTAACATGTTGGTGAGCGGTGACCAGCTGCTGCCGCCACCCATGGTGTCACCCGGGGGGGGGCCGGGAAGA